AGTGAGAGTCTTGGAGAATCTAAGAAGCTTCAGGGAAGAGTTGTGACCCAGTTTGGGGACAGAGGATGTTCCAGTTGTTGCAGCTTAGACATTGGCAAGCGAGCTAGTGAGCGTGACAGGGTGTCAGACCCTAAAGGATATGATTTCCAAGAATTGCAGATGCGAGATCGATTGGGAGCACTTTGAGAAGAGAGGTTTGTACCAGGTGCATATAGTTGAGGGTCGCGGGAAGAGACCCGTCACCTCCGATCATCGGGCGAAAGGCCAGCAGGGCCGGAGTCAGTGCAATGCGTACGAGAGAGTACATGAGGGAGTTTGTCACTCCAAGGGATTAGGCTGCCACATGTGTGGCAGGGATGGTCATGTCTGCAGAAGGTGACCAGTATTTCCCCAGACGTTGCGAGTATGTCATCTTCTATTGCTAATTAATGGATGTTGGGGATACGTATCGCGTTGGAATTGTGAGTGAGTTTAGATAAGTCAGACCTCGAGTTGGTTTTCTGCTAGTGTTTGGGTTATCAGGGATCATATATGCCATTCAGCATGCCGAAAGGTCCATGATGAACCCAAAGAGGGATGCATCTTGCGGAGTGGGTTCCGCGCATATCGTTATCATTTCGGATCTTTGTCGGGATCTATGCAGGAGTGTCATTTAGAGCATACTCGATCAGGGTTGGAGTGATTGTTCTCCAATGAATTCAGCGTTCAAGGGTTCTATCATTGTTCAGGTATGGTCGGTGATTGTTTATGGATGAACTTTAGAGTTCAGTGGTACTGCAAGATTGGGAGAGGGAATGAGGATTCGTCAGCTAGAGTGAAGATTAAGGTCTTCAACTAACATCATGTTATATGGATTGAGGTGTCAGACTGGATCAGAACTCAAGAGTACTCATCGAGATTTCCGAGGATGGGAGATCTCAAGGTTTAATCGATGATAAAACGCCAGCATTGGCAGACACATGTTGTCATTAGGGGGATATTAGAAAGCGAGAAGGATTGAGAATCCTTCAATTCTCATGTGATGTTGCATTTCATAATAGTCTCAGCAATTATCGCAAAATAATGGCCATAATTGTGACCATTTGAACACCACCCATGTGGTTTCTGACTAAGGGTGAGATGCCTAGTTCAAGTTGTGTAACAAATAAAACATACATACATGCAGATTTACCTTAGTTTATTTTTGCTTATTAATTTGTTTTCTATCCCCTTGTTTCATATGTACTAATTGAACATGCCGATGTGTTGAGTAAGATTTACTTAAAAATGGGTTTGTGATGATAGGCAGAGAGGGCTCACCCTTTGGGCGATATGCTTATGTCTTTTGTGTAAGATTTACTTATATCTATTAAATTGTCTTCCTCTAGCTAAATAATTTTGTTTATGATCAAGGTTTTAAAATACGGAATCGGGCCCCAAGGCGTTTACCCCCTCGCCTCACGAGGCGTAAGCCTCGAGGCGGAATAAAATAATAATATATTATATTAATCATAAAAAAACATACTAAAGTCCAATTTCAAACATAAAAGTCTGTCTTAATGTCATCATCCCAAAAATAAAAAGATACTAAAATTCATAATAGTCTTCAAATCATGCCAAATTAGTAAAAACAAACGCATAATAGTCTTCAAATCAAGCCAAATCAACAAAAACGAAAAATAAGGAGTGACGAGAAGAGAAAAGAAAGAAGAAATGAGAGAATAAGGAGTGACAGGCCGGAGAAAAATTAGGTCAAGTAAAGATATCACGTGATTTCTAAGGTCAAAAAAAAAAAAAAAAAAAAAAATCCCCAGAACGCCTCTTACGCCTCACCTCGGAACGCCCCGCCTCGGACCGCTTTTCACCGCCTCACAAGACTGAGGCATGCGCCTCATTCTCCCCTAAGAAGCGTAGCCTCATAATCGTTTTTCATCCGCCTTGCCTCAAGGCGGGCCTCGAGGCATATGCCTCGAACGATTTTTAAAACCTTGTTTATGACAGAATGGTTTTAATCAAAAGAGTAGAGAACTATGGTTCTTACAATGAAAAGGAAAGAGTGCACTAATTACTTAAAAGCTAGTAATCAATCTTAACAAAAAAAATATCAAGGATTATGGAATCCAGATGACTGCCATAATCTGCTCAATATAGAAATGAAATAATATCTCAAAACAACGTATAACTGAATTGGTGTGAGCAATCCACAAGTGGTGTGGAAAAGTGAATATAAAAATGGAAGGAGTGTGGAATCCACAGTACCACCCACTCCCACAGCATAAAAAATTGAAAGAAAAAGGAAAAGGCACATCAAAAGAAACTGATTAAATACTATCAGCAGCCATGGTGACAAACTTATCAATGCATGCCTATCTTTTTTCTTGCTTATATAGTCTAGGGTGATTCCAATATGTTTGTGTACAGAATATTGTTGTTTGATGTACAAGGTACTTGAATTGTAACACATTTTAACTTATGCACACTATATTGTAGTACTAACTTAACCAACCTATTTTATCCTGCTAGTACACAAATATGAAGAACTGATTTTATCAGCTCCATTTCCACTTTAGCATTTTTTTTTATCGTTTATCAATTTTGTTTCATTTCTTTATGCTAGTGTGGTTTGAGGAATTAAGGGTATTTATCTATTGTTCAACTCTAAAGGCATTGTTCTTATTCGAATTACTAGAAGCATAATTATCACTCCAAGCTACTGGTTTGCATCTTTAAAGTGTATTAATTGAGTGCTAAATAACAAAGCTAGAAGGCATAATAACTAATTACAAAAGCATTTACAGAAACAACTAAAGCAGCTAGCTTTTGAGCTTTCAACACATCATTTCCAAGAAAGAAACAAATAAGTATGCTACGGTGGACATGTGGTAAATCATTGTTGGTCTAGATACCAGACACAACATTCATATTTTCGTTGGGAGTGGCGTCCATCACCGAAAACTTAAAGTAAAGGAAAATTGTGGTGGTTCCTCTATGTACAAAAGAGACAACCAAGTAGGAAGATAGTGTGAGGTTGGACATGAAGGAGTTGGCTCTTACCAAGGACATGATCTCAAATAGTAGGTTGTGAAGGTTTAGAGTAACGATAGTGGAGTAGTTTAAGTCCTAGTTTCCTTCTTATATGATTGTGATTTTCGTACAACATTTTTGTACTAACTTTTACCCCTATGTGTTCATTCTTTTCTCCCCTTTTCCCTGTAAGTCATGTTAGTCCTGGCTTTATGAGTAGTTCCTTCTTTTTTCGATGTTCTACATCATATGAGCAAGTAATCAAATTTCTAAGGAAAGTGTTTCCACGAGTAGACCGTTGTGTACTGTCAATTCTAATTTCAAAGCGCCATATTCCACTACCTTTTTATACTAAAAGATATCATAACTATAAAAACATCTAAGGCAACAATTAAAGCATATAACTTTACTTCAAGTCACACATCATCATAGCTAGGAAAGAAACAAAAAATGAAATGTGTAAAGCCCCTTGAAAAGGCGGGTGACCGAATAGACTGTTTTTTAAATAAATTCAAGGCTTGTGGAATCCACACGACTGCCACCATGCACTCAGCATTCATAACTGAAAAATATCAAAAGCGCTTTGTACATCAAGCAAAAGGGAGCGATGATCCCAAGTGGTGGAAAGATAAGTACTAATTACTCTTTCCAATTTCAGACTTTGAATTTTTATAGGTTTTTAAGATGTAATCCTTCTAACAGAATTCTAGAAGCAATATGAGTAGGACAATGTAATCGTTGCTCAGAATGTTCCCTACATGTTCTTGTTCAGCTTTGTCCTCAGAAACCCGAATGCATAGATCAATATTTCCAGCCATGATAGTGAAAGAAAGAATGCAAAAGGAAGTCTTACTTGTTGAAGATAGAATCCTCCCTATATGTTATATATAATATATGATGATCAATGGGTAGGTTGTGAAAAAGTTAAAGATAGTGTAAAACCCACACGCCCTCAGATTTTGGTATGCTCATTATAGAAAAAATAGAAAGAGCCAATACTAAATACATAACATGGGAAGATTGATCGCTAAAAAATTCAAGGCTTGTGGAATCCACATGAGCCATGCACTCGGCGTCTAATGAGAAAAGCATCAACAGCCCTTCATAAGTAAACAGAAAGGGAGGGGTGATGATGATCTCAAGTGGTGGAAAGATAGTAAAATATATGAAAAGAGAGTGGCATCCACACATATGCATATTGATGAACCTAACAAAATGAGTAGGCTCATGGTCTGATGATCTGATCTGTTGACCACTTTCGTGATCACAAAATGGCACTAATACTACTTACAAGTAAAACAAAAGAGTGTAATTTCCCTAATAAAATTATAGAAGCAATAGGACTAGGACAATACAATCGTTGCTCTGTTTAATTTCCTACATTATTATCAAAGATATCATCCCCTTGAATTGGTAATAAAATTACTACCTTAATTAGGGAATTTTGATCCTTGGCACTTTCTTTTCTTTCTTCATGGTATTGTGTTTATTTAATGTGCTATATCACTACAAAAAAATGTCAATTAGTAACCAAAACGAAATGGTCATTAACTATAGAACTAGTTGTCCCTAAATGGTTTAGTGACCAAAATTCTGGTTGTCACTTTTCGTCACTATAGATCCGTCACAAAACCGATTTAGTGACCAAAATAAGATATGGTCACTAAATAGTGACTAAAGTAAACGCGTCACTAAATCTGTGATGACCAGTTTCGTCACTAATTGTTGTCACTAATCAATGAAGGTTGTCACTATTTTAACTACGTAGTGACCAATAAAAGTCGTCACTATCTTATCCGATTAATGACAAAAGAAAGTCGTTACTGGTTTATCCGATTAGTGACTATAACAGGTCGTCACTAATTTATCCATTTAAACAAAAAAAAGGGTCAATAAAGATCAATGTAGATTAAAAATCCGGATAACAAGGAGCGAGTTTTAGGAGTGTGATCCATAAAGTTCCAACCTACCTGCATAGGAGCATAAGAATGTATTAATCACCACATTTGATCGGCAAACAATTGATAGTCACTAATTCCTTCAACCTGTGTATACAAATAGTCAAAACGTATCGAAATTCGTTCTTGTATTTATATACGAAACTAAAGTATATATAAAAAAATAATAAACATACTCGAATGTTAGTGTGGGGTCCATTGATGCAACTGTCATGTGGAGCTATGTTCTGTCAGCTGGATCTGTTTCTATTCTGACCAGACATAACATTGCACGTGTACTTTCTGAATAGAAGGTTGTGCTTGCTACTAAATTAAGCACATTTGGATCCGGAAAATAATGCAAAAAAATTGTTTAGAGTTAAAAAAAATAAATGAAAGTACATTGTTATTGTAGATAATAAATAATAGAAAGAACTGACCAGTCCAGGACAAACCATCAATCTCAAAGTGTTGAACAGATTTTTCATTTCTCCTAATGACATTGCTCTCACACCTCTTACCTGTATAAATTATGATGGAACTTGAAAGTCAATATAATATAATTTCCACAAAAACTTAATAATGTAAATAGGAAGGAGGGGTAAAATGGACAATCCACTTCTTGAAGTTTTAAAGGAGGTCCAGATAGTGATCTCCATTTAGGGAAAACTTCCTTAGTGGTAACTTGAATAGGAGTAAAAAATTTGTTCAACCTGTACAGCCAAAAACAAATTAAATACTTGAAAAGTTAAAAAAAAAATTAATTAAATTAAATACCACTACAACTATAAAAAATATCAATTGGCTCCCAAACTTGTAGGAGAAGTCAAGAACAGGAACATCCCTACTAGGTCGGAGGTTTACAATTTCAAGTGGGCATTGAACCTAAACAATTTAAAAAAAAAACAATTTAATAAAACATTTCAATTAAAAAAAAAAGTAAAAAGTAAAAAATAATCTGACTTGTGCACGTGGAGGTAAAACCACTGCTTGTACTAAATCAAGTGGACCCATATTTTTGTTTCCCAAAAGTAAACAAGTCTACCCTGGTGATTTCTCCATTCTGCTTTAAAACCAATCTGCAATAACAATATTAATAATATTAAATATTAATTATCTTAAATGAACTGTTGTATAATAAAAAAACATATAAATTACCTGAACGCAAGGATCTTCATATAGAACCCCACTATCTTTGAGACATAAAGCATGAAATCTTTCTGCAATATCTCCTATTGGCTGTGAAGGATTAATAAAAAAATAAGATAAATGATAATTAACAATTAAAAATTAATAAAGATTTTTTTAAGGGAAAAAGAGATAGAACCTTGAAAGTAGATTCCTGGTCTTCAATAGGTGCAGGGGCTAAAGCGTCATTTGAACCAACATCATGGACTCATTGAGACTCGTCAATAGCCAGTGAGCTTAAAAGATCACCAGAAGGCTGAGGGTCAACAATGGTCAAATCCCCATTTGACTAAGGCAACGGTTGGTCAACGGGGGGAGTATGATCCTAAAATACATATATACCAATTACAAAAATAAACTAATATCTAAATTCTAACCAGAGTTAAAATTATAATTTTATCCGGCGTGTAGGACCCTCACCGTATCAATTGTGGTAGGGATCATAACCATAGCGAGTTGACTCACTTGTGGGCCCCCATTAGAAGGGCGCTGATCTGTCACCATTAAAGTAGTAGACACCTGTTGTTGTGTTAAGCATCTGTATCTTCCACTTTTTTAATCAACGAAGACTTCACAACACAATTTAAATTTAAATTTTTAAAAAAATGATGAAAGATTTATTTCAAAAGAAGAAGTCCATATAATAAAAATACCTGGCGTTCTGGGAATTTTGGCATTTCAGCTAATATATCCATTAAAGCTTCACCTTTCCTACTCAATGCAAAATACTCCACTGCTCTTTGCTGTATTTCAGCATCAATGCAACTTTCATATCTAAAATAAAAACAAATTTGTGGTTAAAAAATATGAATTTGTGAATAAATAATGAAATGACATTAGATATTCAAATGTAAACAAACTTGCTGTAATTTGCCCAGATTTGATTCTGTAATTCAGGATCTGGTGGCTATGAGTGCATCAAAATCTTTGCATATGTTGTTAGAAGGATAGAGATTATAGGTGTCCTGAAAAAAAACATAATTAATTAAATACTAAACACAAGGGCAAAAGCGTAAATAACCATGTATACGTACGATATAGTAGGAAGCTTCTCATGTATGAGGCTGAAAATTTCCTTTGGACTACAACCAGGGCGTCTTGCCAAAAGTGGCTGTATTCTCCAAGAAGATAACCACTCACCTTTGCATTTCAATAAAATTAAATTATTTAAAATATAAAATCATATTTTTAAAAAAGTTAAGGAGTTATAAAATGAGATTTCACACACACACCTTCACCATTGTCTCATGTATGGCGGGTTTATCAAGATACTCTCTGGCTTTTAATTTTGAATAAGGCTAATGAATTATACGATAAGAGAGAGTTTTAAAACTTATAAATGATTTTATTTGTATAAATAAAGTATATATATATATATATATATATATATATATATATATATATATATATATATATATATATATATATATATATATAAAGGTACCTGAAGGTCTTCATTGTCAATCAACTGAATATAACATCCACATACCTAAAAGAAAAACAATGGAATTTACAGTTATACCCTTGGATGTGAGTGTATCAAAAACATAATAAATGTACAACTTGCTCAAAGCTACTTACATCAACACTTTTGCATCTTTATTCTTTCATTCTAGTTCATCATTAACCTCTTCCCTGAAGCTTATCTTTAACCCCTCAGCTCCTTCAACAACTAAGCATGATTCCGGAATAACTGAACAGAGTGTTGTACTGGTATCCATGGTTTCACTTGTAGTCAGTTGTTGGATCTCTGGAAAACCTGAATTAGACTCAAAACGGTCTTTGCCACATGATTAGTCTTGTTCATCTAAGACTTGTCCATATGCTATGATAAAAGAAAAAATCATGAACATAATATAATTGTATAATGACAACGATAAAATTTAAGAAAAATCAAGTGGGATCGTTAAATTGTGCAATAAGTTAATCTAAACTTTGTATATGAGATCAAAATTGAAATGTGCTACTGACTTATAGATCTATTAAATATAAACTAGCATGCCAAATAGTCTAAAGTAGAATCCGGAAGTTGTGAGGTTTAATAACTCTTTTATGTTATATATGTAATTACTTATTGAGGCCATCAAAGATTTCATGACTACAAAATAAACAAAGATTACTTACAACATATTTATCTGTGTGCAGGCCTTGAAGAGGGAGGAAGTCATGAAAAATATCAAGAACTTATAGAGCTAGAAGAGATAATCTCCCTTCAGAATGCTTTGATTTATATCCGCCAAAACAACCAAATAAAAAGTACCTTGATAAATTTTCTGATGTAAGAGAGATGTTTTGAGAATGAATGGAATTTGGATTTCCATTGTGACTACATCAGAGCATGGTTCGAATTCAACAGTTTGGTAGAATGGGAGAATAAACAAAAAACAGCTAATTGTAAACTATATGCTAATTTAATCAAGCTTTTATGTTTGTTGAGAAAGTCATGTTTCAAGTTGCTATGATTTTAGGTACTATTTGGTAGAAAGGAATCAGGGAGCCGATCAATTAGCAATTGAACAATTCTAGTGGAGAAGATGTACCTGTTTGGCTTCTAGTGGAGAACCGATGTGTGTCCATGGGAGGGTATGTCTTGGCTACGATTGACCGAAGACGATGGTGACCGGCAACGATTGACCGACAATGATTGACTGGCGACGCTGGTGCCGAATCGCCGATGGTTGATATGTCGATTTAGGGCAAAGAGGAGAGATGTGGTGACGAGAGAGGCGCGGTGACATTGAGTTTGAACATTATGATGAAAACAGTAACCTTTTTCCCCAATTCAGTAAAAGATAAAAGGGCCAAAATAATTTTAGGTCGTCTATATTGAGAAGGGTAGTATGGTAAATATGTTTGATGAGAAGGTTTTGGTTAGCTGTAGAGTGTATGGGGACTTAAATAAAGACTTGTCAAATAAAGTCTTTGGAAAAATATGTTCGTAAAGAAAATAGGGAAAGCTCCGTTCATTTTCAAAAATACAAAAATTTTAATTAATGACAACAATTAATAGTCACCAATTGTTTTTCGGTTCGTAAATCAGTGACAACAATTAATTTTTTAGTCACTAATAGTTATTTTGATATGAAACAAAAGTATTTTAATTTTATTCACGGTGTAGTGACCGATTTAGTGACCATCACATATAATTGGTCATTAAATTTGTTGGATTACCAAAATTGAGTGATGACTAAATTTTTGGTGACTAAATGATGTTGTTAGTGACTAAACTTTAGGTCGTCACTAAAAAATTGGTCACTAATAAGGACTTTTCTTGTAGTGTATGTTCAAGTCATCCCAGAGTGGCTAAAGTTTTCTTAATAATCTTTCAAAGCAGTATTTTAGGTGTTTGGCTGCATTTCATAATACTCTCAACAATTTTCACAAAAAAGTAGCTACAATTATAACCATTGATCAGGGCCAGTTTAAGGCCATTCAGGTGGCCTCTGACTAACGATGGGTTGGACAGTTTAACGTGTGTTATAATATCTGTATATATTATACCTTTTGGTCAGGAATGCTGATGAACTCATGAACCTAATTTGTTTTTATGCTTATTATTAGTTTGTTTCTTTTCTATCCATTACTTTCATCTGTGCCAAACATTCCTATCTCTAGTCTCTACTCTCTACTGGATTCATGCTAATTATCCTAGCATATGTGAAAGATTTACGTTATGTCTATTAAATCTACGCCTACAAGATGAGCCTACCATTGCAGCATGCAACCAAATGATTTTTTTCTAGCAGAATAAGTTTGTGTGATGTGAAGGGCTCTACTCAAACTAGTTAATAGGGAGAACTTACGCTTCTTTTAAATTATATATTGAAAAGGAAAAAGTGTGCATTCACAAGTCACAACTAAATCTGTAGTAATCAATCTCAACAAAAAACAAGGATTGTGGAGTCTACACTAGTGCCACAATCCACTCAATATAAAAATGAAACAATACATCAAAACATATAAAACTGAATGGTGTGTGCAGTCCATAAGTGGTGGAAAGATGAGTTTAAAAAATGGAAGGAGTGTGGAATCCACACCACCCACAAAAAAAAAAAGATGAACTGGAAAAGGAGAAGGCATGTATTGAAGTATTTTCCAAACAGCTACTTTCAAGCAAAAAAATTAGGTAGTAACGTTACATAAAAGGGTATATTATTAGATCACCTCATCCCAAATACAGAAATCAAAAGAAACAAGTAAATACAGAAGGTGAGATTGATGGAATACCTTTCAATACGTAGATGGTGAAAAGAAACTGAAGATAACTACCAACCCAGAAACCCCTGACAATGATATTTAAATAAAGAATTCCAATAAATATATAAATAGTGTCTCAGCACCCATGGCTATAAAAGACTGTGCAGGAGGGGAGCAATGATAAGCGTGCGTAGAAAGGGGAAGAAGAAAAAGAGACGTACGTGGGTTACTTGTTTTTTATTAAGAGTATATATTTAAAATAGCAAAATCTCCACAAAAGTCTCACTAATTTTTGGTTAGTTTACTGTTTAATCGAAACATTTATTTTTTAAACAGAGAAGTGTCGATTATCTAATTTTATACGATAATCTATCATTTTCAATTGAAAAAAATAAGGATTTTTCGTTAATTTGGACAAAATACAAAATAATTGAGATATTTCTATTCAAAAAATAAAATTAATTTGTGATTAACCCATTAATTTACCTAAAATATTGAGACTTTACCAGAGATTTGTCTTTAAAATCAGGATAACTAACCATGTCTTTTATAAAGTTTTAACAAAGATGACATTTATTTTCATCAATTCTAAAACTAACCAACTTGTCCGAAATGTGGCATTTTCGAATCATGAAAATAGGTAAAGTCCGTTTGTATGGTACGATCAAATAGTTTGGAAAAGAGGGTAGTTTTTAAAAAATAATGAAACAGCATGCAATGCATTGGTATAAAGCATGAAAATGCAATGGTAGATGTTGAACAAGTTCACAATAGAATGCTATGTTTAGGTATATAACAGTAGTTTTTAAACAAAATGAAAGTAGAATGCTATGTTTGGATATATTTTTCAAAAGAAATGAAAATGCAATGATAAATCCAGGTAGTGTTAAAAGACATAAAAAGTTTAATGCTATATTCTGAGAGATTTTGAAATTATTTTGAAAAAACATTGCCATTTTAGGGGTAGTTTTAAAAATAAAATAAAAATAGAATGTTATGTTTTGATAGAATTTGAAAAAAGATGAAAATGAAATGCAATGGTTTATAAGGTTAGTTTTAAACAAAAATGAAAGTAAAATGCTATGTTTGGGTAAATTTTGAAAAAAGATTAAAATGGAATTATGAATATAAGTAGTTTTAAAAATGATGAAAGTAAAATATTCGGTTTGATTAGATTTAGAAAAGAACATGAAAATGTGATGCTATAATGGCAATTTAAAAAAATATATATTAATAAAAAAAAGATAGTAGAATGCTATGTTTGGGTAGAATTGGAAAAAAAAATATGAAAATGCAATAGTTTATCTTTAAAAAATAAAAGTAGCTAGTTATGTTTGGGTGGAATTTGAAATGGTATAAAAGGTTGTTTTTAAAAAAAAATGGAAATTAGAATACTATTTCTAGGTAGAATTTGACAAAGTAAAAAATGCAATAGTAGTTTTGTTTTTAAAAAAAGTAGAATGGTATGGTTGGGTAGAATTTTAAAAGAATGAAAATGCAATAGTATATAATTGTAGTTTAAAAAAGAAAAAAAAAAACTGAAGTAGAACGCCATATCACTACAAGAAAATTTCAATTTAGCTACGGAAAAATTCCATAGCAAAAAGTTGAAATTTCGTAGCTAAAGCTGAATAACTACGGAATTTGTTACACAATTTATCAATTAGATTCCGTAGCTTTTTTTCTCGTAGCAAACTGTTTAGCTATGGAATTATATTTCCGTAGCAATTTTGCAATGGCAGTTTCTACGATATGTATTTCTTGCAATTTGAGTTCCATAGCAAATTCCGTAGCCGTCTGTTCCGTGGCAAATTCCGTAGCCGTCTGTTCCGTGGCAAATTCCGTCGCCGTCTGTTCCGTAGCAAATTCCGTAGCCGTCTGTTCCGTAGCAAATTCCGTAGCCGTCTGTTCCGTAGCAAATTCCGTAGCCGTCTGTTCCGTGGCAAATTCCGTAGCTGTCTACTCTGTAGCAAATTCCGTAGCGAATTTCATAGCTATTTGTTCAACAATTTGTTCAATAGCAATGTGTTCTAAAGCAAATTCGGTTTGATAAATATATTCAACAACATCCAATTTTCCAATTATAATATTCATAAAAATATATAAAAGTATAGTAAATATAAATTTAATAGTTACATTGATTTTATAGATATATTATATCATCGAAAATTATTCTACAAGGTTGTCTAATCACCAAAACTGATACTAATTACAAATACAACCAAACAATGTAGATTTGAACCGCCACGTATGCTCAACCAAAATGGCAAAACCTGCAAAATCAAATTTACAATCGACTTGATTTAAATTCAATCTTATGTATGAAATCCCATTTTGTTTTGCTTTGAGGGTTTCCCTAATTTTTAACCAACTAGAAATATTAAATCTAAAAATGAACACAAAATAAAAACAACAATCCAACTCTTTTATTTGAAATACTATTAACAAACAAAATGAATCACCTTTTGAGAACCATCAAATCCAACAATAGCATGTTTGTTTTTTCTCTTTCCAATCTGTCACATGGTGTCAAAAGGATATGAAACTGTCACATGATGTTAAGAGGATTTGAAAAAAGTTGAAAGACAAATGATAATAGATTGATCATTGACATCTAAATAGTGATTATTGACTTATTTTTATAACACTTGATTCTCTATTATAAAAAGTAAAAAAAACTAAACCTAGATAATGATCTTATCTATTTTAGCATCCTACTTTTTACTTTGAAAACTTACCTAATTATAGCAATGTGATCTAAATACAAAAAACTAAAAGTATAATGCAAATACTTTAATGAAAGTAGATTGCTATTTTTTGCATTTAGGCTTAGCCCTTTAAAAATGAAAAAAATTAAAAAAATAATAACAACTTATTTTTAGGATTAGCCCCTTTTAAACTCAAAATGGAACTATTTTCTAAAGTACAATGTCATAATAAGTATAAAAGATAAAACACAAAGCTTAAACATGATGGTTTTGTTATCACCTGGAGCAGAGTGGAGTGGAGTGGAACCTAAGCTAAGAAACTTTATCTCAAGAAGTAGAGTGGAGCAGAACCTGGAACAAAGAAAAACACACAATCAAGAGATATATCAATTTTTCTATGCTTATAAGTAGATTGTAAATCACATAGATTTTCTTTTCAACCATGGGGAAGTATCTATAGGAGCATAGGTGGTGTTTGATAGAAGAAGAAGTGTTAGAGTGAATGAGAGGTACTTGAATGTGCGTCTAAAATGATTATTGCATGTTAAAGCTTGTTTGGCAACTGGTACAGATTAAGATTTTGATTTTCTGATTATTAAGGTCAAAATAAACTCTAATCTAAAAACGTAACCATAAACCCAAATTAATATCGGTTTTTAACCGAATTGAAGTAGAAATCCTCATTCCATGATGAAACGAAATTAAATGAAATTATCAGAACAAGATAACTGCGCCAAATCTAACAAGATCAACATGCAAAATGTGATGTTTTTCTGTCCAATTTAATATGATGAGAGAAGACCTACTTTACAGTGATCATAAGCTTAAGGGATAAAATACATAGCATAGCGAACAAAGTTATGATGCAAAAACACGAAAAACAGATCAGGAATGGATACTGAATTATATTTTTGGAATATTAAATGCGAAACAGGAATGCAATCAAATTCACCAATAAAAACTTGAATCCAGCTGTGTGTATGGATTGGTAGACTTAACAGAACATTAACTCGCTTCAGATTCAATGGATAGATTAATAGATCCTTAAGGTCATTGGATGATACAAAGAGAAAACAGAGAAATAGAACGGGGAAGAACGTTACCTGGTAGGGAGGAAGACGATCGAGAAAAATCTATCAATTGAAGGAGCAAGCGGCGAACGACATAGCAAACAAGAGTGAGAGGATCCCCTATAGAGCGAAGTCCGATCGATAATGGCGTAAGGGGAGATTGGGGTAAAACCGCAGAATGATGAATGAGGAGTTAGGTCAAAATAAAGAGCAAAAATTCCACCTACAAAATAATTCAGCCGTTCACTAGTCGAAATTTAACACAAATATCTATTTATTTAATTCATTTGGTGATTTCATTATACACGTTAGAAGATAATTAAAGATTTTTTTTTAAATATAAAAAGAAATTCAATGACTTCATTAATTTGTTATGCGTAAAATATTTATCTTACGATCTCCTATTCATTTATTTATTATCATAATGACTTCATTAAGTTGTTTATAGTTGTAATTGCGTGTGATTTTGGGGAACATGTATGTGAAGGCGTGTGCACTAAGTTCATCAAGTTGTTCACGTTCAATAAAAAAACTAATATATAAAATTGGAAATTAAAAATGGTGAAAGAACCATCCATATTTAATTTGGGATTAGGTGTACTAATCCTCTAGATTAGCTATTAATCTCTTTTAGATTTATATTGAGACGAGTTTTCGGAGAGGGTCATATCGATTATGCAGAGACCATGTATCATTTAGGGAAGGTAATATAATCGGATATCTTTACCTTTTTTATTCCATTTTTTTTATATATTTCTTCTCTGCATATTTATTTTCATCATTTTTTTCATTGCATAATGTAAAAGAAAAATTAAATTGATTCCTACTTTTTATACCTACAAATATGCCTACCCAATAAAATTATGACAAGTATCATCTTTCCATATTTTTTAAACTAAATCATTAAGACTATATTAGGAATATATCAAATACAATTAAATTGAATGGTGATTTGTCATAATTTTAGTAGGTAGGAATAATTGTAGGAATAAAAGGTAGGAGGCAATTTAATTTCTCTGTAAAATACTTGTATTTTCATCATTTTCTTGATTTAGTCCCTTAACTTTATCTTTTGTAGTGATTAAACCATTACACTTTTTTGATGGTTTAAAAAACCATCTTTCTCGTTTAATCAGTTTTGAAAATGGAGAAAGAACCATTACATTGTTGATTTATTCGTATTATATTATTACAATATTTGTACATATTTATTACATTAGTTTATTATTTTATAAGTATATTTGATTTTAACCAAAACTAAATATTTAAAAGTTAAAAGGTAATAACACACTAAAAAGTTAGCAACAAAATGTAAGGTATATAAAAGCTATTATGAAATTTCCTCTGTTGTTCTTCCACTAGTTTTTAACGCTTCCTTTCCTGTTTACAAATTAGAATAATTACACAAATATGTTACTACAAACACTAATTTCATGTTGTGTTGAATCAATATGACATTTAATTCTTTTGCACAAACTAGAACCCAAGTTTTTGTCCTGCTTAATTCACCTTTTTGGTTGGATTAGATGTTGCAAATATGTTGCTACAAGCACTACTTTCATGTTGGGTTTGTTACATGGGACATGAACCTTTCTAGGGATATTTTGAATCAAAAGGGTATTTACGTCTTTTGCATAAACACAGATCAAGACCCGAGTTTCTGTCCCACTTGATTTAACTTTTTGGGTGGGATAAATACTGTAATTTTTATACGGTTAATCTTTCTAAGGATATTTCTGGTTATGAGAATGAGAAGGGCATTAACGTCTTTTGTCCCACCTTTTTGCTTTGGATTAAAAACTATTTTGTCCCATTGACATGAGTTTTGATCAAGTCCAATGTTTTCAAAAGCATTTACTGTCTTTTTCCAAACGAGTGGAAAGCAAGTCTTTAGCCGCATCTTGTTCCACCTTTTTTGGTTGGACAAAAGATATGCATTTTTTCCTATTGATTGTGAAAATGAAGCTGAATCTGGATGTATTAAAAAGTTTAGGTCGAGAAAATGCATGATTCAAAGGTGTGTGGTTTTATTGTTAAATTAAATATTACAATAAAAATTATATTTATATTTATATATATTAATAAATAAAACAATGAACATTTTTTCTTATTATTGTTCAAATAGAAAGCTCATGTGAAAGCTAGATGGGTAGTGGGGTTATGATAAATGTGGGATGTGTTTTCTATTATTCAAAATTAAAAGAAAAAAGAATTACAAATATTATAAAAAAAATTAAGGGTAAAAATAGTTATGAAGTTTTATTCAGTTTTTTTAGCAAAATTACATAGCATAATAGTAATGGAATTTCATTTCGTAGCAAAATAGCTATAGAATTTGTTTTTGTAACTAAATTCCATAGCAAAATAGTTATGGAATATCATTTTGTAGCAAAATAGCTACGAAATTTAGTTTCGTATTAATTTTCATAGTAGAATAGCTATAAAATTTTATTTGGTAGCAAAATAGCTACGAAATTCATTTCCGTAACTAAATTATGTAGCAAAATAGCTATGGAATATCATTCTGTAACAAAATAGCTACGAAATTTTGTTTTATAGTAATTTCCGTAGCATAATAGCTATGAAATTTCAGTCCGTAGCAAAATAGCTACGAAATTCGTTTCTGTAACTAGATTCCGTAGCAAAATAGCCATGGAATATCATTTTGTAGCAAAATAGCTACGAAATTTTGTTTCGTAGTATTTTCCGTAGCATAATAGCTATGAAATTTCACTCCGTAGCAAAATAGCTACGGAATTCGTTTCTGTAACTAGATTCCGTAGCAAAATAGCCATGGAATATCATTTTGTAGCAAAATAGCTACGTAATTTTGTTTCGTAGTATTTTCCGTAGCAAAATAGCTATGTATTTTAATTTCGTAGCAAATTTGGTACCAGACTAACTACGGGTTACAATTCCGTAACAATTTTCCGTACTTAGTTCTAAGTTTGCAACGGAATTTTATTTCGTAGAAATTTTTGTAACGAAAAATCTACGGAAAATCATTTTGTAACATATTTCGTAGCAAAATAGCTATGAAATATGATTTTGTAGCACTTTTCCGTAGCTAAATTGAAATTTTCTTGTAGTGTATAAGGGTAGTTTCAAAATACATGAAATTTCAATTCGGATAGATTTTAGAAAAAGATGAAAATGCAATGCCATAAAAGGTTAACTTTAAAAAAATATATATTGCTATGTATGGGTATGATTTGAAAAAAAAAATGTCAATGAATTTGTACATAAATTTAGTTTTGAAAAAAAAAAATAGAATGTTGTGTTTGGCTAGAATTTAAAAAAAATGTGAAATTTAAAGGTATAACATGGTAATTCAAAAAAAAATTACAATACTATGTTTGGGTACATATTAGAAAAGTTGAAAATGCAAATGTATAATTCGGTAGTTTTTAAAAATGATAGTAGAGTTTTGTTATATTTAGGTAGAAATCGAAAAACAGATGATATTAATTAAAGTAAAATGTTATGTTCAGTAAAAGATTGAAAAAGATGAAAATGAAATGGTATTATAATAGTAATTTTTTAATCACAATAGATTTTTATGTTTGGGTAGAAATTGAAAAACAGATGAAATTGTATTGGTATATAAATGTAGTTTTAAAAAAATGAAATTAGATTGTGGTGTTTGGGTAGAAATTGAAAAACAGATGAAATTGTATTAGTATATAAATGTAGTTTTAAAAAAATGAAATTAGATTGTGGTGTTTGGGTAGAAATTGAAAAACAGGATGAAAATGCAATGGTATAAAAGGGTATTTTTTTTAAAAACACAAAAAGTTGAATACTATGTTCGGGTAGATTTAAAAGAAAAGCAATGGTATATAAGGATGGTTTTAAAAAAATGAGAGTAAAATCCTATGTTTTGGTGTATGTTTCAAAAGAGATGAAAATGCAATTGCATATCAGGTTAGTGTAGATATTGAAAAATACAAATATGCAAATGCAAAAGTACTTCAGGGTAATTTTTGAAAAAAATAAAGCACAATGCTATGTATGGGTATTATCTAAAAAAAAAAAAATGTGAAAATGATATTATACATGAATGTAGTTTTGAAAAAAAAAAAAAAAAGTAGAATGCTTCGCTTGGGTAGAATTTTAAAAATGATAAAAATGTGATGGTATATATGGGTAGATTTTGACAAAATGAATATAGAATGTAATGTTTGGATAGAATTTAAAAAATAAATAAATAAATGCTTTGGTATAAAGGGTTATTTTAAAAAAAATTTGGAAGTATATTGCTATGTTCAAGTAGATGTTGAGAAAATTTGAAAAGGAAACAATGTATCAAGAAAGTTTAGAACAAGTTGACTTCAAAATGCTATGTTTGGGTAGAAATTAAAAAAAAAAAAAAAATGCAATGAGATATAACAGTAGTTTTTTAACAAAATGAAAGTAGAATGTTATGTTTGTATATATTTTTCAAAAGAGATGAAAATCCAATGATAAATCAGCAGTGTTAAAAGACATAAAAGTTAAATGCTATATTCAGAGAGATTTTGAAAAAAAAAAAAATTGAAAATACAATGCAATTTCAGGGGTAGTTTTTAAAAAACTAAAAAGAGAATGTTATGTTTTGATAGAATTTGAAAAAAGATGAAAATGAAATGCAATGGTCTATAAGGTTAGTTTTAAATAACAATGCAATTATAAATATAGATAGTTTTATATATGATGAAAGTAAAACATTCGTTTTGAGTAGATATGGAAAAAAAGCAAGAAAATGCAATGTTATAATGTTAATTTAAAAATAAATAAAAAAAGGATAGTAGAATGCTATGTTTGGGTAGAGATGGAAAAAAATATGAAAATTCAATAGTTTATCTTTAAAAAAATGAAAGTAGCTAGTTATGTTCGGGTGGAATTTGTAATGGTATAAAAGGTTGTTTTTGAAAAATAGAAAGTAGAATGCTAATTCTTGGTAAAATTTGATAAAGTAAAAAATGTAATGGTAGTTTTGTTTATCAAAAAAGTAGAATGGTATGTTTGGGTAAAATTTGAAAAGAATGAAAATGCAATGGTATATATAATGGTAGTTTTAAAATAAAATAAAAAAAAAAAAAAACAACGAAAGTAGAATGCACTCAAAATACATGAAATTTCAATTCGGATAGATTTTCGAAAAAGATGAAAATGCAATGCTATAAAATGTTAATTTAAAAAAAATAAAGAATGCTATGTTTAGGTGGACTTTGAAAATAAATGAAAATGAAAATACAAGGTAAGGGTAATTTTAAAAAAAGATGAATGTTCAATGCTATGTTTGTGTAGATATTAAAAAAGATAAAAATAAAATCCAAGAGTACATCAGGATAATTTTTGAAAAAAATAAAGTACAATGCTATGTACGGGTATGATCTAAAAAAAAATGTGAAAATGAATTTGTATATGAATGTAGTTTTGAAAACAATAAAAAAGTAGAATGTTGTGTTTGGATAGATTTTATAAAAAATGTGTAATACAGAGGTATAACATGGTAACTTAAAAAAAATAGATGTACAATACTATGTTTGGGTATGATTTGAACAAAATGAGAGTAGAATGCTATATTTAGGTACATATTAGGAAAGTAGAAAATGCAATTGTATACTTCGGTAGTTTTTAAAAAATGATAGTATAGTGTTGTTATATTTAGGTAGAAGTTGAAAAATAGATGATATTAATTAAAGTAGAATGTTATATAATAGTAGTTTTCAAAAAATGAAAATAGAATGTATTGTTTTGGTAGAAGTTGAATAAGTATGAAAATGAGTTTGTATATGAGAAAAGTTTTGAAAAATGGAAGTTCAATGCTATGTTAGTGTGGAACTGCAATGGTATATCAATATAGTTTTGAAAAAAAATGAAAGTAGAATATTTTGTTTGACTAGATTTGGAAAGAAGATGAAAATGCAATGGTATAAAAGGGTATTTTTTTTCAAAAATCTAAATGAAGATTGTTATGTTCAGGTAAATGTTGAAAAAATGTAAAAATGCAACTATGTATCAAGATAGTTTTAGAAAAAAAAAAAATAAGAGGAGAATGTTCTGTTTGGGTAGTTCTCTTTTTTCAAAAAAAAGATGTAGAATGGTATTGATTGGGTAAATTTTAAAAAGAATGAAAATACAAAAGTATATAATGGTAGTTTGAAAAAAAAAAATA